GAAGGCAAAACTCGGAAAATTGCCCGTGTTTGCAGTTTAAAATATCCACCTAAATGTTTTTGGATGATCACACTGCAGCTAAAAATAGATATCTAAACATACAAGTGGCTTGATGCAGGAATGACCCATTTCATGCAGGATGTTTCAGTGTTGGAATGCAAATCAAAATTGTACAGTGCTGTGCAATAAAACAAAATGCAGAATTTTTTTCTTTCTGTCCCTGGGTGTTGATTACTTCTTCCTCAGCTAAGATGCTGGAGCGTGCTCAGATGTGAATGCAGCAACATTATGGCACCCTGTATCTTAACGCCAACTGTAAAACAACATCCAAATCGGAGATTGGCAAGAATTATTCACAATCACCTCAGTGGGATAGAATGAAATACCTAACTTATGTTTGTGAATGTTAGATAATGCATCAGGTAAGGTAAAGGACACACAATAATAAAATAAAGATATAAGTGCAAAGCTGACAATGATGTTCACAGTACATAAATATTGCGTTGACCTCCTTCCTCACTTTATGATCCCCCTGAGCATCTGGCCATTGATTTGTACCTAGTATTGCCCCCCATCTCATTGCACTGTTATTGTCCCCCAAAGATTACATTCCCTTCACCTTTTTGTTTCAGCACATTTATAATAAGAACAAAGGTTTTTTTCTCCAATGCGTCAGAAAGTGTGGGTTCAAGTCCCACCTTGGGACTTGGAAACACATAGTCTAAGCTGACACTGCTGGGGTGGGGTGTTGTCCGAGATGGGTTCTTCGGATGATACTTTAAATTGAGGTCCCATCTGCCTATTCATGTGGATGTTAAAGATCCCATGGCAATATTGGAAAAGAGAAGGGAGTTTCTCCCAGTGTCCTGACCAGAAATCCCCCAAATAAAATTGGTCACTGTTGATGGGACATTGCTCTGTGCACCTAGCTGCCGGGTTTCTCCCACAAAATACACAGTTAATCCACTTCACAGTATATCCTGTGATGCACTTCGAGATGCCTCAATGACTTGATGAGCCTTATATCAAACTCAAGGATTGTTATTACATTATAATTATGTTTTTGATTTCGACCATGTTTGTTGTGCAATATCTGGTTTACTGGTACATGAAACCAGTGCAATTCCACAAGATTAGAGTTCAATTTAAAAGAAGTGAATATACTGTGAACCAGGGCATTTACTTATTTCTGATGTTGCACATTTTTCCATTAATGATGTTTTGAAACCCACATGCTTTGCTGGAAGTGCCAAACAAAGCTGTTGTTATCCTTTTGGGAATATTTCAGAGGCAGTGACTGTGTTTCTTATTCTTTAGCTATTCCAGCAGTGGGGCGTAGTGTAATTTGATTTATGATACTTGTGTTTTACTTGCCAGTTGCAAGAAGGCTCACAAAAATTGATCAGAAATAACATCAGCAGTTGGCCAGTGAATATATTTAAAGGTGTTGAGCCCCATAACCAATAGTTTTTTCTTCCTTCACCTCTCAGCTTGGTAGCAATCTCACCTTTGAGTCAGAAGATTGTGGCCTCAAGTCCCATGTCAGAACATGAGCTCATAGACTAGGCTGAAGTTCCAGCGTAATATAATGGGAGTGTTACATTGTCAGACCCCCTACCTTTATCTGAATTCCTCCAGTACAACTTCAATGAAAGAAAAGCTTCTAGACTCATCTGTGTGATGTGCGATTGATATTTGCCTCACTATTGCCTATCAATTGATGTGCAGTTAAGCTAGTTAAATTATTCTCTGAAGTACATGAGAGCAAAAGCTGTATGAGGGGTGATTTTGAGAATTGAGCAATTTTTTTTAGGCAATTTAGGAGAAATACACATTCATCTAGTCAGTGTCTGGGATGGACGATCCAACTTTGCAGATGACTCTAATCTGTTGCTCAATTCACTGTTTTATATTACATTTATAAATTCTGTATTGTGCAGATACAGCATTTTTACCTGTATTTTCACTGTATACACTATAAATATTGTGAAGACATTTATACTGCAGTAATTTTCTTGTCATGGCTAGCTACTCATCTACACATTGCATTCTTATCTGTGGTTTGAAATGTCAGAGTTGATAGAGTTTGTATTCATTTTTTTAAAGTATTCAGACTTTGTACGTGAAATTTTCTTGATCTGTTTAAAGACAGACTGAAAATTATTCAATTTCTGCTACAAATTGACATTTAGCTTGTGATACATTTAGCCATATTACATATTTGACTCTATGGGCCAATTCCCCAAATTTGTCATAACTATGATGAGGTTGGATACAACACTTGAGACAGTGTTAGGTGAGAAACGTTTCAGAGGCATGTTCGAGGGAATGGCAGAGTAACAAATGGGCAAGAGAGTGTCTTCCCTTTTCTGCTAGGAAGGTAACACAAAATCAAAGGGCCCACTTTTGCCGCTCTAGCCAAAATGAACATTGTGAATTACACAGTTGTGATATTGCCTCGCCATTCGTTGCTCAGCATGAAGTTCTGATTGATCAAAAGAGTTTTTTGGTGTGGAAAAATTCACTCAGCTCAGCAGCTAATGACCAAGCAGATACAGTAGATGGCAGTCATTGCACCTCTGTCAGCTATTGTTCTCAAGGGAACCCATATCAAACCAGTGACCCTCCAGTCACATTGTACGTAATAATAATAATAATAATCCTTGCATTTGATATAGCGCTTTTCACGTCGGGAGAACATCCCAAAGCGCTTCACAGAACACACTGTAAAGTGAATTGACTGTTTATTTGTGGCCGAACGTGGCAGCCAATTGCGCACAGCAATGTCCCACAAACAATCGTAGATTGAAAATGACCAATTTATTATTATTTTTAGTTTTGGAGGGATTATTATTAGGCATGTGGAGTAAGGAAACTTGCCCAAGGTTTCGCCCTGCCTGGAATTGAACTCAGGTCTCTCACTTGCAAAGCGAGAGCTCTAACCACTGAGCTACAGGACTCCACGTAGATATCTCATGGTCACTGACACTGATTCTGCTCTGACCGTGTCTATATCCTAATCTTCACAGGATGTTCTGCAAAATACACAATCACTACACTTCACAATAAATTCTGTGAAGTGCAGGTGAAACTTTGTCCTGATGTTTATTATTAGTAGTAGTGGTATGAGATTTTAAGTGTCCTCATGTAAGAAGATTCATTCTGAACGTAGTGACACTTTAACTAATGGCTTTTAGAGGGTTCTAATAAACACCTAGTCCTACGAGTACTCTGTGTATTCTACTTGTGTAGGGCTATATCATGGTAATACTTTTTTGAGGATGAAAAATACATCTGCCATGTTCAAGATGCTGATGGGCCTGGGTGGAAAGAATCCCTGCCTAGGTGACTGATCAGACTGACTGATCTGTCATCAACAATGTCTTTGCCTTTGGAGTAAGAGTAAGTCATCCAAACTTGTGGGTTAAATGAGAGGTCTCTTGCTATTCAGCAGTGATTCAGTTAGGATTCAACACAGCAAACTGCAGACAGGCATCAGTTCTTTAAATGTTGCTGTTCTTCAAACTGATATACAAGGCCAAACTTGAGAAAGGGATTCAGTACTTTTCAGGCACTTAAACATATCCTGTTCACTCAACGCACCAAATGCATAACTTGCAGCATTAACACTGCCTTTTCAGCAAAGGAAGCATAACTAGCCGTGTGTCAGATCTTTTCCACCCGATTAAGTGTTAAGTGTGTTACGTGCTTCAGTATGACTGACCTTATTGAGTGACCTATGTTCTCTACGTCAACTTGTCTTAAGCAACAGAAAACTCTGTGTTGGTGGTAATTATTTCATCAGCCGTGAGCAGCTGGTAACTAAGATCATTGCTGTTCCTAATCACTTGCTCAAACATTGTGTCCCAGTCACGTTATCCATCTGACATCAGTGAGTCTGTGAATCTTAGTCCAAGTTTTGGGGTGCCCTCAGAGTGTCGAGGTTCATTTATCTATATTCCAGTTAATAAATTGCTCCAGTTGTTAGTCAGACTTCAGAGCTGACACAATTCCAGTGTTGGCTATCTTACAAATTGAACCAAGGTCCAAGCTGTAACCTAGGTGCCACATGTAACTGCTTCTTCACCTCCTCCTAGTATTTCCATTTCATGAATTCTAGAGCATCCTATCACGGTGGCTGTGAAAATCAGAAGAGATACTCAATGTACAAACCATACGAGCAGCATGAAGTCTGTGTTGTGAGCTGAGAGTATGCTGCTTTCTGGATTTATCGGTCCGTTAACACAAAGTAAGATTGCTGTGACAGGTTGTCCAGTGTTTCTCAAATAAGCCTTCACAACTGGAATAAAATCATTACTGAACTATTCGGACAGAAGATTGCTGTCCACCCATGTGTTACATTACGCAATGCAATATGCAGAGACAGCTGTAATGCTTATACAACTGAAAGCACGCGTTTTATTTAATTTTCTGATAATCCGTGGGGGCAGGGCAACTGGCTTGCTCAGTGGATTAGACATTGCCTGTTAACTTCTAGGAGCTGGGTTTGAAAACAACCAGGCAGCTGGGATGGAAGTCTGTTTTGCTCACAGGGGTTCAATGTGAGAAGAATTTAGGCAGTGGGGGGAGAGGACCCACCTCTACTTCTTAAATTAAATCTTGCAGAGTGACCAATGTGGCAAGCAAAACGTATCACCATACACGATACAAAGTACTGTATTCCTCCTTTTGAACAGCAATGGGCCTTTTGCTATTGGTATCACGGTTTACATTTTCTAATGCCCTGGAGACTAACTGGTTCAATCCAGTTAAAGCATTGCACTTTCACTGTAGAAGACAGTTGGAGGAAGATTTTATGGTACTTAACAGAACAATTATAACAGACGTATTCTCTTCCAATGCTATGCTTTCATTTTAGTGTTTTTAAACATTACTTGTAATCAGCAAACTCCACACTGGTTAACTTGTGGAGAGATTGTGAAGCCCAATTCCTTTCAGTATACGCATAGAATTAATTACAATTTCATTGTCTTTTGTAGGTTGGGAGGAACAGTATCTGCATACAAGATAGTACCCGATGAAGTTGATGAAATCAAGGTAACTGCTTAGTTTCTATTGTGGGGTTGACATTTTCTTAAGAGCCTGTACCTGACATTGTGCTTGTGTTGATGTTGTGTGATACCATATCAGGCGGTCTGCAAAAAAATTAAACACCTCATTTTCATATTTATGTAATAATGTCCAAAATTTATACTTCAATCACAAAGTATATCAAAGGCAAGAGGCAGCAGAAGATGACAGCACTGACTTCTTTTACACTCCACCACAGTCATTTTGTGAATGAAAATCTCAGTGACTATATACTGTATTGCTTTGGATGAGTTGAATAGTAGCCAATAGGGTTGTACAGATGTATAATGTAGTAGACCCATGTAATCATCCAGTTGGGTTGTTTTACCAACACCATATTCTCCAATTTAATGATGTGTGGCAGTGACCAGCAATATTCCCCAAACAATGTATTAAGGCGACACTAGAGGCAACAGAGACCTTCAGCTTTCTTTTTCTGTTGCAGGATATCATAAGTTATGAATATGTTTTGTTAAAAACTCATTCAAGCACAGTGATTGAAAATATTACAGTGGTTGGGGTGGTTTAATGAAATCTTTGAGCATCATTTTTTTACGCAGAGGGTTGTTAGGAGAGGGGGAGGATGTAAACACAAAGGATCTCTTGATGGAAGGGAAGGAAGGAGGTAGGAAGTGGGACAGTTAAATATTTTTTATAAAGCAAGCCAAGGGTTTTCCAAAGAAATGGAATATATTAAAATGTGAAAGTATTAAGGGAGTGAATGGCAGGTAGAAGGCACAGAAATTGAGACAAAGAATGAGACCAACAAAGGAACTGGAGGGAAAAATTGAATAAAGAGCATTACAGAATGTTGGAGAACCATTATGTATTTTATAAGGACATAGTAAAAATATTGCTATTTTTGGCAGATTAAGTAACACCATATTGCTTTTGAAGTTACTGTTTCTTAGTCTTACTCATTCAGTTTGACACTGCCTAAAGAAGGAATGCAGTCTTTCACCAAATTAGCCATCCTCTGATATGTTGTGACAATGAGAACACCCTGCTCATTTAGAGAAGTTGACACTGGTCATTGGACTTTGCTTCTTCTTAAATCATTTCAAGACTTGATAACTTCTTGACTAGGTAGAGTAAGTTTTAGTTGAGACAGGCAAGTCGTGCACCCTATTTATTATGCATTTTTTCCTCATTAGGTCATGAAAAATAGCACCAAATAAATGCAAAAAGGAAGAGTTTCATTACTCCCATATAAATGTGGAAGTATCAGCTTAAAAATGATCCCTTAAAATTTCTTAGAACAACTCAAGATTTTTTTAAAAAAAGCAATTAGCATTTGGGAGCAGAGCTTTTGGTGCAGGTATTTGGTTGTGTACATGGAATGCTCTCCTCAGACTTGGTGAATGCAATTTTTGAGTAAGACATATAACTTCTGTGTCATGCTCTAAATGGATTCTGGGATTATGAATGGAACATAACTCTGAACTGGAGTCGCTGCTGGCTATGGCAATCTTTCTGCCCATTCTCTCAGGTTAAAAAGGGAAAAATTAGTCCAGATAAACTGCAAAAAGAGACACAGTAAGAAAGATCATTGAAGCAGTACATTGAACCTCATTACCATCAGCAAGAATATTAATGCAGATAGCAGAAGCTATATTGTAATATGACAAACCAGCAAGTGGAAGCAAGTAAAACATTACGACAAATGTATTAGGTGAAATGTGTGCATTGGATCGTAGATATAAAACTCTGATTTGTGTTCAGTGACTTGGTTCCCACTTCAATGAGCATTTGAGGCTTTGCACAAATCAGGCTTCTTTTAAAAAAAATCTATTCCATTCCGTGACATCTTGCTTTAATTTTACTTTCCACATTATTTATTGAAAACAGTACAGCAATAACTAACCTTATCTATTGCTGAGCTTTAGAATGCCAGGACCTTGTTACCAAAAAAAGTGTCTTTGTGGTTTTGTTCTCTTCTTTGAGGTGACACATATATTGAAGATGATTGTATTGTCACCTCTTCCCATGGAAAAAAGTAACCTTTAACTGCAGAGTGCATTCCAGCAATGAATCACATCATCATCATCAACATCATCGCATCCCAGCATTACTGATGAATTTAATTCCCAAATTCACAAATATATACAGTCAAACTCCTCAGCCAACCCATTGTCCATTAATTATGAATTATTACACCAGTGTTGTACAGTATTTGAAGAAGTTAATGTCTAGGTAGTTGATCAGTGGAACAATCAATTTCTTTGATAGTCTAGAAATGTTTCTAATGCTGGTTAATCAGTTTGCTGACTAGAATGAACAGTTTTTCAATACCAGAGAATGAAGGTATATCATTGGATTTCAGAATGGGATTTTCCTACACGTGGAAGACTGCACTTCCTAATCTATTTGGAATTCTGTACATTTCTGCATATGTGTAATCCCAGTGCTGGGAACAGTTTAATCATTATATTTTGTGCATGCAAGTGAGTAGGGCGATGACATAGGCTGTGGTAAAAGGACGGGCCATGCAGTCTGTCATGATATTGTGAACCATGGTGGTGGAGCTCAAGCTGTTCGTAAATCTCTCTTGAAGCCTGAGAACATGCTGACGTTTTAATTGTAAATGTGCTTCTAAACATGTTTCTCGTCCTGTATAATGCGTGCAGCGGATTTTATTTTCGGATTGATTCACTACAGTACCTTTGCTGTTGGAGATTGTTGTTAAAGCTACCCAATGTAACTGTAATTGGTATCACCATGCATTTTACGAGAGTGTGACATTTGGCTGGGGGATTGTGTCAGCTCAAGAGAGGAAGAGTTTTAGTCTAATTCTTACTATAATTAGCCTGATAATGCCACAAATATTTTTTTCTTGCTTTTCTTCATGATTTAATGAGACTCTGCAATTTCTCAATTTGCAGCTACAAAACAACAACAACAAAGTTACATTTATAGAGCGCCTTTCACGTTGGGAGGACGTCCCAAAGTGCTGAACAGTCAGGTGTTGGGGCCCGAGCATGGGGGAGGGGGGGTGTAGGGATGAGGGAAGGCAGAGAGGTGGGTGGGAAACCAAAGGCACGGTCGAAGAGAAAGGTCTTGAGACCGACCTTGAAGAAGGCAAGGGAGGAAGCGAGGCAAAGGGACCGTGGGATGGAGTTTCAGAGTGTGGGGGCAGAGAAGCTGAAAACCCGGCCACTGATTGTAGGGCGGGTTAGGCTATATTTTAATAACTTGTTACAGATCTGCGTGTAATCTGCACAGAGGAATTATCAATATTTAAAGGAAATTTTATTTTATTACCAACCAGTTGCCAATTGCCAATTGTTCACCAGATTTCTCTTTTCCACTCCGCCCCCTCCTCTCTCCCTCCCGCTTTCACTCTTATTTTTCTATCTTACTACTGTACCTGACTACATGGGCACCCTCCAGTATCTTTTTGAGTCTTGATATTCAAGTGTTAGTTGGTTATTTGACCTCGGGGGGAACAGCAACAGAGCCTGTTCCTGGGGTCCTCCCCACATGTGCAGCCTTCCAGCAGAAGCCAACAACTAGGCAACTTCTCCAAAGTTTAATTCCACACTCAGTCCTCGTAAATTAGAGATATTAAGATTTATTTTTTTACGCCCTGCATGAGTCGCTGAGCTTGACAACTGCATTGAGATGTATTGATGTATGCCTTACCATATCTTAAAATGAGGAAGAAATTCAAAATTGGCCATATGAAATTCCAGTCTTTCTTCAGTCCCAATTTTTAATTGAATCCTTGCTTGCAGTATTTTTCAAGGAGGCAAACAAGCTCTCTAGTCTGATACAACCACTATCTCATATTAAGTGCTGGAATGCCTTGCTCAGTCATCAAGACTTTTGACACCGAGTTCTGTTTTTACTATAACTCAAAATATTTATTGGTGATATCTCGTCTTTAGCAAATTTATATATGTAATTGTATATATTATTTGTATTATACATTTGCTTTGAATTATTCCAATTCGTTCTGTTCTCCACCTCTAGTTAGATTTAAATAAGTTTTTTGTTTAGATTTGGTAGCTGTAACTTTAAAGCTACATTTAAGTTTCTGAGCTATGTGATAAGGTACTGTATCAAATGCAAGAATTACTATTATTTTTGTTAACTTTGGAAAATTGAGGCACTGTGGCGGGATGTCCATTTTCACTTGCAGTTCCCCATTTATTGAGAATTTCTTCTCAGTCATGCTGGTACTGAAGCTTGCAGAATGGAAACCAGGGACTTTCCAACAAGAAGAGTTGAAGGGAGAGTCTTTCTGCCCACTCTCTTTGCTCTCCCAGTTGATGAGTGGGAAGCATAATAGGCAGAATCCCATTTTCTCTACTGGAGAAACTGGTATATAGAAAGAGGAGAAAATAGTGAGCTCCAAATATAAAATGAGAATGATCTTTGATGGCTGCTTCACATGTGCACAATTCATTCATTTGTGAACGATTCTACATGAGGGCATATCTTTAAAGCAATTTTTTCAAACCCATTGTGGCAAGTACGGAATGCATTAAATCTTCCAACATTTGAAGTACATGTGAAAAAAAAATACATTTCCCTGTCATTTTCTCCACTTTCCTCCCCTGTGGGTGTTTTGTCTAATTGCCTTTGATCAGGTACAGTTTGAGAGGTTCTTGTCAACCTTTGGTACTTCACCCAAGTGATTGGAGTTCATTTGTGAACCTTGATATTGAGTGTTCGTAGGCTATTCAACTACAGGGTATCACAGCTGAGCCCAATCCCTTTCACACTTGTCTCTCCAGTACAGGATCTCTGATTACCAATCAGGAGCAGAAAATACTGTATGATGATTTTTCTCTTTTCCCCTTTGCTTATCCTTACCCAGACTACTGAGGCCAGCCCTATGGCTTCCCCGCCTGAGAGCAGCTATCTCAGCACAAACCTAGAATCTGTGTTAAATAATAATAATCTTTGTGTTTGATGTAGCACCTTATCACATTGCTGAGACGTCTCAAAGGGCTTCACGGGAT